AGCCTCCCGAGTAGCTGGGACTACAGGCACACACCACCACGTCTGGCTAATTTTTGTATAGCTCTGGGACTTTTGAGCAAGCTCTCAGGCAGTAGACTCCTTTTCCCCCAAAGGACTTGGACCTGAAAGTTTGTAGCATTGCAGGGACGGCCATCTTGACACCCTCAGGGGACAACCAGTTTGAGAGAGTGGCACAAGGTATTGCTGAGAAGTAAGAGAAACAGCATCTTCCTGACAGCATTTGGGTTCTGGATCAAACCATGTTTGAACCTTCGTGGACTTTTCAGTTGCGTGAGTTAACAAACCCCGCACTGTCTTAAGCCAGCCCAGGTCAGATTTTCTCATCACTTACAGGCAAAAACAGACCTGACTGATAAACCCATTTTCTGGCATCAAGGCCCTTGTCTAATTAACCAAATTAATAAAATGAAGGCTGCTTCAATTAGCACAGATTCAGAGAAAAAAAAAAAACTGGATCATGTTTCCAGATATATGACTCAGGTTTTAGGACATCTCTACCCTACTTTAAGTATTGTAGAGGGAAAGATGCTCCAGAATCAGAAAGTGCTCAGTTTAAATCCACTTACTTCCTACCTGTGTGACCTGAGGTAAGTCACTAAACCTCTCTGAGATTCTATTTCTTCGAACGTCTGAGATAAAGTACATAAAGCACTAGGTACAGAGTAGGTGCTCAATAAATGCACCCCCCCACACACACATACACACGCGCGATATGGTTCAGCCCATCTAGATTTGCTTAATTAGAGGTACATGAAGAAGACCTATGGGGACAAAGAGGAAGGCCATCTGGGCTCCCAAGAATTCACCCATGGTACATGCTGCCCTGGTCTTCTGGCCTTATTCTAGAAGCAGGATAGTGTGGTAGAAAGGAGCAAGTGCTTTCGAGTTAGAGAACCTGGGCTGAAATCCTACCTCCATTCTGTGATCTCAGGCAAGTTGCCCAACCTCTCTGAGCCTTGTTCTTCCGGTGGCTCAAGCCTGTAATCCCAGCACTTTGGGAGGCCGAGACGGGCGGATCATGAGGTCAGGAGATCGAGACCATCCTGGCTGACACGGTGAAACCCCGTCTCTACTAAAAAATACAAAAAACTAGCCGGGCGAGGTGGCGGGCGCCTGTAGTCCCAGATACTCGGGAGGCTGAGGCAGGAGAATGGCGTGAACCCGGGATGTGGAGCTTGCAGTGAGCCGAGATCTGGCCACTGCACTCCAGCCTGGGCGGCAGAGCGAGACTCCGTCTCAAAAAAAAAAAAAAAAAAAAAAAAAAAAGAGAAGGTTTTGGCTACCTCTTAAGGGGATACAAGAATCAAAGTGTGATGCTGTGCATACAGAATCCAGCACACTGTTCAACAAACAAGTGTGATTATTTTCCCAGGCCCCGGTCAGGGATCTTCCTCAAGGGTTCATCCTCAAGGTTCTCCTGCATCCGGCTGCCTGAGCTCAGCCATGCCCACAACCTGACGAGGTCAACTCCTTGACCTCTCATGACCACCAAAGCCCCATGGGTCTAGCCCTGACCTCACTCCAGAGTTCAGACACATCTCCACTAGGGCATCCTTCGGGCCCCCTAAACCCAGCACCAGCTCTTGTCTCCTCCACTATTCTCTGGAGGATTTGGGTAAGTCATCCTGGCCTTGGTTTCTTCATCTATAACACGATGTCACTTGTAGAAGGTTATAGCCAATCACCGAGGAGGCTGTCCCAGCCCTAACATCCTAGGATTCAACACCACTCACTGTGTCATCCCCCCAACTGAGCTCTACCTCCTCCCTACACTCCCCACCTTCAAAATCAACACGTTCCTTCTTCAGCAAGCCCCAGCTTGAAAATTTAGGGTCAGCTTGGATTTGTCCCTCTTGTTCATGCCACAGCCCCAATTCTGGAAGATTCTCTCCAAGAGATACTCCCCTATCTGCACACTCCTCCCTGTTGCCACCACCAGCAACCTCGCTCAGGCCCCAGCACCACACCTCAAGGAGGCCCCAGCCCCAGCTTCCCCCATGCAGCCTGCCGTCGACCCTTTCTATCCATGGAGCTTCCAAACAGCCTTTGCATGGAGCCTGGGATTCCTCATGTCATTGTCAAGAACTAGACCCCACCATTGACAGTCTCAGTGCCCTGGAGATTCTTTTCAGGTTAGGGATGAGGAGAGGAACATTTTATGGTGCTCAGGTTAGATATTCACTATGTATTAATTAAATTCGTTTGGTCATTCATGCTTCTCAAAACACATCCCTTGGATGTTCATCTCCAATCCAAGACAGACAACATCAGAGATCTCTTTGCAAATCATGAAGGGCTGGGGCCTTTGCGACTCAATGTCACACCCTTGTGACATTTTGCAAACAATTTCAGGGAGTCCATCTTCCCCCGGCCCTAGATAGAGCACAGTTTACTTCTGATTGAGCTCATGTTACAGATGGAAAGACTGAGAAAGAGAGAAGAAGGGACTTGTCTGAGACTATGCAGAACATCTCCTCCTACCAGGCACTAGATCCTTGCACAAAAGTGCTGAGTCCGCTCCCAGCCCCAGGCCCATGGCTTTGAGCAGCAGGTCACTTAACATCTAATGTCTTCATGCTGTTTCCTCATCTGTGCAAGAACAGCCATGTCTACCTGGCGAGGCTGTAGTGAGAGATCATATAAGCGTAGAAACGGGGCTCAGCCCCGTTCTAGTTTCATTCTTTTCCTTGCTGTTTCTCTTCCTTTCCTGGCAGGATATGGAAGAAGGAAACATCGCTGCCATCTACAGTAGTCACAGAAGGCTTTATGGAGGAGGTGAGCCGTGCCTGGGTCTCAATTTTGGGTGCTGGAGGGAAGCAGGGGCCAAGAGTTATTAATAGGCTTGGCCTGATGGGCCCAGGGAGACTGAATGTGATACAGACACCCAGCACCATGGTTGGGGAGTACCTGACACCGGAAGGGGAGGGGGCTGGGGGCTACGGGGAGTGCCACCTCCCAAAATAGCCAGAGCAGAAGCCTATATAGGTGGCCATCCCACCGCCAGGCTCACTTCCCGACAGGACCTCCCACCAGCCCAGCCTTTCAGGGCAAGCTTCAGCCCTCCACCCCCACCTGAGGTGAGTGGCAGCGACCGAGGTTGGAGGATAGAGGGATGCAGCAGGATGAGCCAGCTGGAAGGGACAGCTACATCTCCCCTGTCCCTAGTGACCCGGGGGCGGGGGGGTGTGGTGGGGGTGCTGGAGGCAGGGCAGCTGTGGAATGTAGGGCTGAGAGTATGCATTCCTGCTTCTCCACCCAGACTCCTGGTGTGGCCTGCGGCAAACTCTCCCCTCCCTCTGCCCCTGAGGCTGGGCCTCAGATTCCCCAGCCGTAGAACAAGAGGGGTGGAGCCAGACATCTGTGGACTCTGGTGATGCCGTAAGAGGAGACCCAGAGGGCAGAGGAGGACTACCGAGAGCTGATGGGATGACCTCATGACATTGATGCTCTGGCTGGGAGGACTCAGCCCCGAAGGGGGTTTCAAGTTGATGAGAGAACTCAGCAGCAAGGAGAGAGGGAGGAAGGAGACGGAAGAAGAGTGGGCCTCTGTTGAGGCTCCAGCCTTTGCCACAAGGTCACTGCTTAGGGGCTCACCAGGAGCCAGTGTGGGGCTGAGCTGAGATGTATGGCACCTGATAGAGCTGGGTCCCAGGCACCAGGGAGGATCACCCAGAGAGTCACTGAACTCCACATGAGTGAGCCCAGGGGTGTGCTCTGCTCTGCTATTGCTTTGCCATGTGTCCTCAGACCACTCACGGATTCTCTGCGCCTCCATTTCTCCACTGGTATAGCTGAAGGGTCTTTGAGCTGGGGAAATCCATTCTCCAACTAGGAGTGAGCTGAGCCTGGGAGTTGAAATGATAGCGTAGGAGCCTGGCATGTCTGAGTCAGCAGCCCAGCTGGGGACAAGGTGCAGAGGTGACGGCAGTAGCAGCAGGGGCCAGGGCAGCTGAGGGATCCTGGGAAGTCCTGGATCAGAGAGGCATCAGGTCAGGAGCCGCAGTCTGGGTGCCTTGGAAGCCAGCTGGCCGGCTGTGGCCTGAAGGAGCTGACTCACAGGGAGGGGGCAGCTGGAGCCAGCAACGGTATCCTAAGGTTTCCAAGAAGGGCACCCATCCACGGCTGAGCTGCAGGAGACAGTGTTGACCATGATGTCAGGGAACTTGAGCTACTGGGCAGCTGGACAGCTGCTCTCCCTGGGCCCCACCACCGAGGGCCACCACAGCCCCAGGCCCTGCCTACCTGCCCATACCTTAAGTTGCAGTCCCTAGGTCCTACTACATGGGACCACTGACATCAACACATCACCGAGAGACAGAAGCCCAGAGAAGGTCACAACCCAAGGTCACACAGGGAATTAGCACAGCCCAGGATCTAGAACCCAGGCCTCCTGACTCCCTGTCCAGTGCTCACACACTCTAGAAGCAGCTGGTTGCAGCTTGAAACCTTGGGAACCGTGGGGAAGAACACAACTGATTTCTGGCTGCATGAAGATAGACGCTGTGACATTTTTCCAGAGGTGAAGTTCAGAGCCCCCACGCCTGCTTAGATTGTCTAGAAAGTGTGGTCTGAAGGTGCTACCCTTCTTCCAAACATATGCGGGGCTTTCTGGGAGGGACCTTAGCAATTTCAAGCAGCCTCCCCCACCCTACTCTGCCCAAAAAGGTTTATGGAGGCAGGGGGAGTCTGGTCCCATGATGCCAGGACCCAGGAGACCAGGAAAGCAAGTAGTTAGTAGAGATCTGAGAAGTGTTCTTTGAAAAATCAAGCCAACAAAAAAATGAAAATAAAACAAATCAGGTTTTAGAATGTGCATCCCTGGCCAGATGTGGGATGGGGCACCCGAAGTGGGCCCCAGCAGCTACTGCTTGTCCCTGTCCCTGCCACCTCCTCCCTACGTCCGTGGGTCAGGTTTCACGACCTCAGCGCTCAGATTTTGCAGCATAAATTTGCGTCCAGGAAAGACCAGAGCAGAGGCTGAAGTAGGAGTGGAGAGAGAAAGAGAGCAGGTCCTAGGGGGTCCTGGGGTGCAGGCTGGCCGCTGAGGGTTCAGGATCTTCCGCCACGCAGCAGGACATCCTCGGAGGTTCCCAGATCTGAGACCCCGCACCTCCTGCGTGTCCTTGACAGCAGGTGGACTTTCCAGACCTGGCTGGTGACTCCAGTGCCCCCTAAATCCCAGAGGTGGCCCCCTTCCCCTTGTGCCCTGGCCGCAGCCCCTGGGATCCCGCGGACCCCCGGCCTGGCGGTGCAGGAGCGGTAGCAGGTCCGCGCGCCCTCTTGCCCGCGGCCGGCGCTGCTCAGCCGTGCGACTGGACTGAGCCGCTCCCGCTGCGCTCAGAGTCCGGGCCCCTGGCGCCATGCCAGGCCCGGCGGGCGTGCGCCCGGCGCGCAGCACTGCAGCGCTGGTCATATGAGCAGAAATGATGAGAAAAGCACTTTTTAATCTTTTCGCACTTGCTCTGCCCGCTCAAACAGTTGCAGGATGTCGATGACAGACTTGCTCAACGCTGAGGACATCAAGAAGGCGGTGGGAGCCTTTAGCGGTGAGCAGCGCGCTCCCCCTCCATCCCTCTCCCCTGGTCCACCGCCCGCACCCCTGCACTCCGCGGGTCCCGCAGCCTAAGGGTCTTCCCCAGCGCGCTTCTGCCCACACTTCCCACTGGGCGCCGGCGAGGTCGGGGCGGGGGCGTCCTTGGCAGTTCCCACCAAACTCTGTCCGGGCGAGACGTGGCGCAGGGAGCGGGCGGGGAAGCGGGCGCCCTGCCCAAGTTACAGAAACTTGAGGGTGCTGAAGGCCCGGTGGCTGGGAGGACTCAGGGTCCGGAACCAAGGGCGAAGACCAGGGTCGGAGGAGGGATCGCCAGGGTCCTTGTACGAGCTCTCTGGACGTCCTCTTTAAGGCACGTGGAGAGGACTGCAGGGCGCATCCCCCTCTCCAAGCGACCCCTTTCCTGGACCCTCATTCTGAATAGGACTTTTCCCGCCAGGCGGTAGCCATTGTTGGCCCCCTGACTGCCCTAGTTCCTTTACTGAGATTCAGCAGCGGACCTGCGGGCGAGGTGACCTTCTGGATCCGGCGCACAGCTCTGCCCAAGCCTGCACGGGGCACCTTCAGTGCCTCAAACCTCGGGCCTCCTTAGGCGGGCCGGGGAGGGGAACTGGCAGTCTCACCTCTCCCAGCTGCCCGGGACTTCAGCGCTTAGCTGCCCGCCTTCCTCCTCCCCTGTCGTACAGATGGGGAAACCAGGGAACTGTCTTGGAGAGGACAACACAGTTGCCCAAGGTCACCGAGCTGGGCAGAAGGGGTATTAGACCTGGGTTGCCCAGCCTAGTGTCGGAGGTGGACAGGGCAACTTTCCTTGCCTCTAGCCGTGTGCTGAGGGGAAGAGAACATGACTTTCACTGTCACCTCCTGCACACAGACACACACACACATACACACACACACCCCTACACATACACACACACATACACACACACATACACACACACATACACATACACACACATATACATACACACATACACACACACACACACACACGATACAGGATCTAACATTGTACCCTTCCCCAGGTGTTCTAAAAGAGGACCCCAAGATACAGAAAATTGCAGGTAGAAAAGGACCCCCATTTCCTTTCTGCTTTGCACCCCCTCCCCTGGGCACAAGAACCTCTCTGGGAAGCCACCCTCCCAGGGCCCTGGGATAACCCTCTCCCTTCACCTCACGCCCATCTGGGAAGAAACTTAACTGGGTATTTCTCAGGAGCCTCCCAACACCCCCTTCCCACTGCCTCCTAAATGGATTTCTACGCAGAGCCAGGACTTCCGGGTCTGCCCCTCCTCCTCCCTCTGTGTGACCTTGAAGGAAACCTGACCTTTCTATGTCAATTTTCTGGCCACACAGTCTGTGGCCAAGAAAGAAGGTCAACCCTCCTCCCCCTACTTCCAGGACCATGTTCATGCCCCCTTCAATTCCCCAGCCCACTCCCAACCAGCTGGCGCCCAAAAGGCTTCCTGGACACGAGGTTCTCAGAAGAACAAAAGCCTTTGGTTCTTAGGTGCTGCTCCCATCATCAGGAATGGGTGCAGTGGAGGCGGGGTGTGGGGGCAGGCTTGAGAGCCGGGGTGGTCTGGGTGTGAGCACACCTCTTCCACTCCCAGCCTTGTGACCTTGGACAGGGCATCCTCCCTTGCCCAGGCTCCCTCAGTCCTCCGATGGAGGTGGGTACCTCTCATTCCCCACAACTGGCATGCGGGAATCCATCAACAAATGCTTTGACGTCCTCCATTCTCCCACGCTTCCCTACCAGCCTTTCTGGTCCTTATTTGACCCTGCTCTTCCCCCCACAGCTATTGACTCCTTCGACCACAAAAAGTTCTTCCAAATGGTCGGCCTGAAGAAAAAGAGTGCGGATGATGTGAAGAAGGTGTTTCATATCCTGGACAAGGACAAAAGTGGCTTCATCGAGGAGGATGAGCTGGGGTAAGCGGAGGCCTGCAGGGGCTGCCCAGCCCACGGCTGTGCGAGAGGGAGTGGGGGCTGGGACTCTAGCTTCCAAGTGTCCATCAGACCTGCCTTTCACTCTGCCTGCTTCACAGAAAGTAACGGTGCGTGAAGGCAGTGCTCGGACCCAGGGCACCAGGGGAGAAGGCTTCCCGGCACTATTGCTTCGGAAGAGTAAAACCCTCAGCTGAAAGTGCAACTAACTAGGTTAAGTGATAGCCACTTAATATTGCTAATGGAGTGATGCTACTTAATAATTTAATACAAATGAAGAGGCAGTTTTTGTTGCTGCCTAGCACCATAGGCAAGGCAGAAAGCATTCACTTGAGTATTTCATTGATTTTCATTTGTCTGACAATTTCCACCTTCCTGCAGCCCCCAGCCCTCTGGTACTAGTGTGGCTGGTGCATTTTCTGGGCAAGCCAGGGATGCAGAACCAGCTCTGGGGGTCCAGGGGTCCTTGGAGAAAAGCAGAGAAGGAGAAGGCTGTGGCTAGGAAAATGTATGCCTCCATCTGCTAAACCATCTCCTGCCATAATCCCCTCGGCCACCCAGCCATGTCTACTGACTCAGGTTGCCTTATGTCACCTTCTGGCCAAGAAAGCCTTGAGTTTTGTCACAAAGAGAAGCAGGGGGGGTGGGTGCAGGGAGAGGCCTTCAAGTAGGGACTTCCCCAACCATCCTGTCTCCCCGCTAAACCATCTCACAAGGGTACCTTCTGTCTAGAACCTTCATATTCTACCCACTTACATCCAACATGCATGCACACTTCTGCGCGCGCGCGCACACACACACACATTCACAGAGGCTGACTTCCCCCTGTCCTCCAGGCATCACCTTCACTGGGAAGCCTCCCTGCTCCTCCCCTCACCCCAGGCGGGCCGATACAGCTTCTGAGCGCCCTCCTCCACTTCCGCCCTCATTGTGCCCATCACACCGTGTGGTCTCTCTTGGAGCCCATGACCTCCTTATTTTTTTCAGTGCCTTCTGAAGATCACCACTGTGACCCCACTTTCCAGCATATGCCTGACACAGAAGTGACACTTAGTGGATACTTGTTGGATAAATTAACCAGTGTAGGTGCCCTCCCTGAAGTGGGATCAGCCCTTTGCTGAGGACAGCCTGTCCTTTCCTGAATACTCATCCACGAAAGCACAGCCACCGAGCAGGCTACCTGGCACAGAGCACCTGTGTGCGTGACTGCTGCTCGCTGCCTGTCCCAGCCACCCCTTTCCCCACGCAGACACCAGACCACCCTCCATCCAGCGTCCTGCAAGGAGACCTCGGCCTGACTCCCTCACCGGCTTTCTCCCTTTTCTCCTCCAGATTCATCCTAAAAGGCTTCTCCCCAGATGCCAGAGACCTGTCTGCTAAAGAAACCAAGACGCTGATGGCTGCTGGAGATAAAGATGGGGACGGCAAAATTGGGGTTGACGGTGGGTAGCGGTGACCTGGGGTCTGGGCATATTGTGGATCTTGGGGTGTTGGATGCAAAAAGTTTGAAGCTATGTCTGTCACAAGGAAGGGATGATATGGGGCCCCTCACTCCCCTAGATTAGAAGATAAAAATCAGTCCATTAGGTCTGAGAGCTCTGCCACATACTCCAGACAAAGGAAAACTGGTGTATTTTCCTAATTTGAAAACCTAAAAGGAGTAGATTTTGTTTTTCCTGCTGGGTAGGGGATCCAGGAGGATTAGGGATTTTTTTTTTTTTTCCTGAACTCAGCCTGCACTTTTGCATGAATACTGATCCAAGCTCTGCGCAAACTGGCTGTGTGACCTTGGGCAGTGTCTCTCAATCACTGGGCCTCTGTCTCCCATCTGTAATCCAAGGAAATGAGGCCGACTAATCCCCAAGGATCCTCTACCTCTCACATTCTGATTCCAGGGATGGAAATTCCTATCTCCTCTCCTCCTCAGCATCTTGTCCTGGTGTCCTGTAACCCCAAGTCTCAAAACCTGTTTGGGTTTTACTCAAATGTACTATTCTAGCCTTGCAGCAGAGCCAGGAAAAACAGTAAGCCAGAAATCAGCGGGGAATTCGGACGGGGAATACCTGGTCCTGCCTTGCTTTGCAAGCTTCGATGTTAGCACAGATGAGAGACCAGTGGCCCACCGTCCACTCCTTTCTCCATTTGGCTCCATGTGGCATTCATACAGCGCACCCACATTGCCATCTCTCTTAGCATCAGGATTTCCTCAGGAATTATCTCCAGTTTGCAGGTGGGCAAATGGACTTTGACGGTGCTTAGCCTAGTTCAAAAGAGCTAGGACACAGTGGTGGGGCAGGGATTTAGAACTAGGCCTGAATGAGTGTTTGCAGCATGCTAAGCTGCTATTTGCTCCCATAATGGGCTTTTCTGCTGATCTCAGAGAAAACTGTGTGTAGGTGCTTGGCCTCTGGGCCCCAGGCTATCTCGGTTCAAATCCCAGCCCTCCTGCTTTCGAGCTGTGTGACCGTGCACAATTAGATAACTACTCTGGGCCTCTGTTTTCTCATCTCTGAACTGAACATAATGATAATTCCTATAGGGTGATTACAAGGGTTAGATGTGTTAATATGTAAAGTGCCTAGAGTAAATGCTATATATGCATTTATTAGCTAATTCATTTAAAACTAGGGACTGTGTTGCATTCATCCTTCTAGCCCCAGTATCTAGCCAATACCCCACACAAAGCAGGTTCTTCATAAACATCTGTGCCTGAGTATAAAACCCAGACCCCCATGCTCTGCTCCCTCTCTGCCCCTTGCCAGCTGTGACCTTGAACACATCACCTCTGCACACCTACGTTCCCTTGCCTGGCAAATGGGGTGCATGAGCTTCTCCTAAGACCTGTCTGGACTCGTTGTGAAAATTAAGTTTCTGGGAATACAAAATTGCTTTGGGAAAGGTACAAGGAATATGAAAGTAGGTGTATGCTTATGAGCTAGAGGGTTTTTTTGTCGTTGTTGTTTATTTCTTTTTTGTTTGTTTGTTTCCTGCCAGTAACGAGAATGGAGAATCCCTATCAAGGTCAAATGCAGGGGGTCCCCTGGCTGTCTGATGCCAGCTGCCCTTCTTGTGGCTAGGAGGGAGGGAGGTGGTTTTAAAGGAGTGGAGTAGAGAGTATTGGAAAGGCATCATTGGCTTGGCTGCTCCTCGGGCTTCTGGTGCTTGGCAGATCCTCCCTCACACCCCCATCCCCACCAGTCTGCTTATCAGACAGCTCCACCCCAAGGCTTGGCTCCCACCTCAACCCTGACCCAGGCCTCCAGACCTGCCTTCCATTTTTATTTGCAGCCAATATGCCATAGCTCAGAAGCCCTGGGCCGGGTCTTCATGGCTGACTGCTCACAGACAACCTACATGATGAAGAAAAACCAAGCCAGACCTGGCCCAGTTCCCTGCCTCCCTCCCTCCCTCCCTGCCACACTCAGATCTTAAAGCATCAACTAAACTCTTCTAACAGATCCAGCAGATGTTGACTGAGTAGCAACTCTGTGCCTGGCAATGGAAGAGATAAAAATAATTCAGGCCCATTTCCTGACTGGGTGCCCCTGAGCACCTGCTCCTTAGCCCTGAGCCCCAGCTTCCTCATCTGTAAACTAGGCATTATAACGTGAGAATGAGGCCTGTAGTGCCCAGCACATAGCAAATGCTCAATAAACGGCAACTCCAATGCCTTATTTATTTATTTATTTATTTAGAGACAGTCTTTCTCTGTTGCCCAGGCTGGAGTGCAGTGGTATAATCTCAGCTCCCTGCAACCTCCGCCTTCTGGGTTTAAGCAATTCTCCTGCCTCAGCCTCCCGAGTAGCTGGGACTGTAGACATGCACCACCATGCCCAGCTAATTTTTGTATTTTTAGTGGAGATGGGGTTTCACCATGTTGGCCAGGCTGGTCTTGAACTCCTGGCCTCAAGTCATCTGCCCACCTCAGCCTCCCAAAGTGCTGGGGTTACAAGCATAAGCCACCCACCTGGCCATACAATGTCATTTTTATTGTCTGCACATTGCTTGCAGCTCTACACATATACACAAACAAGTGATAGTGCCAGCCAGAGGCAGAGGTGCAGGCTTCAGGCATTTTGTGCAGACTTGGAGGCTATGCTGCAGGCTGTAGGGGACAGAGGGAGTGGGGTCCAGGCAAGGCATTGGCATCAGCTGGAAACTGTAGGGTATGTTCAGAAAGGGGCAAGAAGATTGTTTTGCCAAGAATGGGAGGAAAGACTTATTAGCTGGGCATGTCATGTGTGTCCAGCCCAGTGCTGGGTTTGGTTACCTCATTTGACCTTGGGATGACAGAAGACAAAAGTGCAGATGTAGAAAGGGCAGCCCAGGGAGTGAGTGCAAGGTCACACTGCCAGCAAGTGCGAGGGCCAGGATTCAAACCCAAAAGCATGGTCCAGGCCCACCTGTGCAGCCTCCATTGAGCTCATAGGCAAGACATAAAATAGACAATGAGCACGGACCACCCTGAGGCACTGGGGCCCCACACCTCATGCTTTTGAGGTGGGAAGATGCGGATGCCCCCTTCCTCACTCCCAACCCCCTAACGCAGGAAGGGTGGGTGCCGTGATGCCCAATAGGTGGTGAGATGGGAAGCAGAGCCTTTTTGGGGCCCAGGACATTCTGTTTCAGATACTCTGCTTTGCTGTCACTCTCTCTTAAGGCCAGAGGGCCCAAGCCCCACCTATAGCTGGAAGATGCCTTCAGCTCCTGGTAGGATCTGGGGCATGTCCCAGAGAGCCCTTCTGACCATGAAGTGCCTCATCTTTAAAACCACGAGGCACGCCGGGCGTGGTGGCTCACACCTGTAATCCCAGCACTTTGGGAGGCCAAGGCAGGTGGATCACAAGGTCAGGAGTTCGAGACCAGCCTGACCAACATGGCAAAACCCTGTCTCTACTAAAAATAAAAAAATTAGCCGGGTGTGGTGGCACATGCCTGTAATCCCAGCTACTCAGGAGGCTGAGGCAGCAGAATCACTTGAACCTGGGAGGTGGAGGTTGCCGTGAGCTGAGGTCACACCATTGCACTCCAGCCTGGGCAACAGAGCAAGACTCTGTCAAAACAAAAACAAAAACAAAAACAAAAAACAAACCATGGGGCAGATAACTAGCCAGTTACTGGGGTACACTCCAGCCCTGGAATTTCACAGATGTCCCAGTGGATAAACGTCTACACAGAGGACCACTTCAGTATTTTGGCTCAGCTGCGTGACCTTGAATGACGATGGCAATAGCATCTAACTTCATAGAGCACTCAATACATGCCAGGCACTGTGCTTAGCATTTCCCTCATTTAATCTTCCTAGCTATCTCTGAAATGTATACTACTATGATTCCCATTTTATAGATGAGCACACTCAGGCTCAGAGAGACTAAGGGCTTGCATAAACCCTTTAGGCTAGGAAGAGAAAAGATCAAGGTCTGAAGTCAGGTCTGTTGAGCTCCAAAGCACATGACCTGTGCTGCCTGCTTCATTCATTCATTCATTCATAGTTTAGTTTATGATAAGATGATTTTATTGATTGACTTATTGCCTATTTCTTTCTCCTCCACTAGGATGTCAGGTCCGCTGAACAGGAACTTTGTTTTGTTCAGTTCTAATCCCAGCACCTAGCATAGGGCCTGGCCCATAGTGAGAGAACAAGAAAAGTGTATTGGTTGAATGAATGAATGAATGAATGAATGAATGAATGAATTGAACAAGTGCTCAGTTCTGGGCAGCACTGTGCAGTGATGAGGACGCACAACTGCTGTATGTAGGGGGAGATGATCTGCAAGCTGAGGTTGGGGATCTGTGGGGACTTGTCTGTAGCAGGTGCTGGGAGAGCCCCAAACCAGGGACTGCCTCTCTTCCCTGCTCTGTTTGTCCTTCTGAAGGTGAGTGATATTTACCAGGTTCTTGAAGATCCTGTATGGAAGGGAGGGGGTAGGAAGACAAAGTTCTAATAATAACCCTTTGCATTCCTGTCTCTGGGGCAACTACTTCCAGGAAACTCAAAGGCTTTTATAGATGTGGTTGATTGATTCTCAAAGGCCACCCTAAAAGGCTGGTGCAGAGCTGATATGGGGAGGGGCTGAAGGCTGAAAAGGAAAGAGAAGCTAGAAAAAGAGGCGAAGGGTGCCAAAAAAAATCTTTGTTAAAGCACCTGCGGTTGCAAAGCCCAGGCATAAAAAGCAGACAAAGCAGACTATGTGGCAGGTGCCTTTTCAAATACTTCACCTTCACAGCGGGTCTCCAGCTGGGAGTCGGTGTCAGCATCACCTGGAGGGCCTTTGGCAACACAGATGGCTGTGCCAGACCCAGGAGTTTCTGATTTCTTAGGTGGAGCCCACACTTTTGCATTTCTAACAAGTTAGCAGATGGTGCTAATGATCTGGCGAACCACACTTAGAGGACCACTGCCTTACAATAATCCTAGAAAGTAGATGCCATCGCTATCGCC